CTCTCTCACACACACACACACACACACGACGCGTTACTCTGCGCTGCGCAAAACTCAGCATTTGAACAGTCAATAGCAAATACTTAAACTAATAACAAAACATACGTACAGTCGCTGATTCAGAAGCGCCAGATTGTCACAGCAAAGACGGAATTGACCCTTTTTTTTTTTTTTAGAAATAGCCTTTGTGCACAGCCAGCCTCGTACTCTTCTAGGTTAAAAAAACTGTGGTCCATAAAATGCGTTGCACAAATTCGAAAATCTGGGTTGTGCTGTTCTGTTATAAATAAAGCTTAACCAATGATTCCTAACTGCATCTACTTCCGGAAGACCAAATAAAGTGCTTTTGCTTTTGCACTGAAACACACAGTGTCTCCCTGACATGCTGCTTCAACACTAACTGCTGTTACTGAAACCACGCCTTCTTTCACATTTGGGTGGCATTATGCTAATATTTCCACACAGTGATGTAGACATGTGGGGGCGTGTTAGAACGAGGCGTTTTAGGTAGATGTGGTTGACTCTTAACTTTTATAAAGAATATCTCTTTGGATTTGAGACTTTAGTCTTTGCAACTTTACAGATCTTCTTTATGCACCAAGAGCTTGTAACACTCCAAAGAGAAAGGAACAATTTAAATCGCATCATATGACCCCTTTAATTTTAAAACATCTCTTAAGGATGTCAGCCAAACAAGGGCTTGTTGTTTTTCTCTGCAAATTAAACTGGTATAGGATACATTATTTTTAAATCAAAAATGACGCAGTGCTTTAAAAGTTCAATGAAACAATCCGGCAAGAAAAAGGTATTGAAAGTAATAGTGATCACGCTTGATTTATTGTTGTAAATGGAAATGGATGGCCAAGTTGAGCAAAAGTCACCTTGCACACTCAACAGAAACAACTTTTCCACGACATTCTAATTTATTGAGATGCACCTGTATCAGCTTCATCACTGTGTCTGTCACGCGACTCTGTTCACCTTTCCGGCTGTCTTTACATTTATTTTGAAAGATGAAGCTCGCGATTATGGTAAGGGATGTTACATTTCTGATGCGTGCTTGTGGTGTTCGGCCAATCACAATGCACTGGGTCAGCTGGCCAATCAGAGCAGACTGCGCTTGTCGGAAGGAGGGGCTTTGTAGAAAACGAAGCGTTTGAGAGAGGCGGGGCATAGAGGACCTACAATAATGTACAGTATTTGAAAAATAATGTGTTTTTTGAACATTAAAGCATGTCAACATATTCTGTTACACCAAATACACAAAATAATGATCTTTAAAAAAGCATCATATGACCCCTTTAATATCCTAATGATTTTTGGCATAAAAGAAAAATCTATAATTTTGACCCATACAATGTATTGTTGACTATTGCTACAAATATACCCCAGCGACTTAACACTGCTTTTGTGCTCCAGGGTCACATTTGAGTATGATTTGTTTCAGGCATTTTGGGTGGAAGCTCCGTAAACCAGAAGTGCCACCCATAACTTAAGACACAGTAGACTCGTTTATAAAAGGTGGATTGGCGAGGGAAAAAAAAGGTCTGGGTTGCAGAGCAGCTGGAAAAACATGTGCTTCCTTAACAAAAACCGAAACATATATGAAAACCAGGACAAGGGGCTTTAAACGTGGCGACCCACTGGGTAGGCAGGATCCACGTACACACACTGCCAGCACACTCTTCTGTCTGGATCTCTCTCATCCCATCTCTCAGCAGCAGTGGGGTTTTATACTCCCTCTCCTCACTGCAAAAGGGATAACACCTGTTAGTTCTCATTAACAAGCATTACCTTACCAGCAGGGTCTCTCAAGCTCTCTCTCCGCCACAACGGGTTAACATGAGACTACTGTGATAAGAATTGTTTACTTTGTGCAAATGTACATCCAATATTTAAACTCCTGTCACAACCATGAAAAGATGGTACACCTTGTAAATGATGCATGTTATGTGCAGAGAGATGTGTCCATAAAAACACTGTTTACTTGGAGTGCACTCCACCCTCAGGAATTGCATCAGTAACACATAACCTGAGGTGCATCAGTGTCAAACACAGTGCTCCCTATAGTACATCTTAAACACATTTTTGTTCTGAAAAGCTGATGCTTTAACCAAGATGCAAGATGCTCATTTCTGCTTTTTAACGTCCGGAATGTCTTGCCCCAAATGCTTCCACTTTGAGTGTTTGATTTTTCAAACTGAAGGATGAGTAGAAATAATTTTCTGTAGTAATCAACAGCATGCTACAGACTTTGTCCATTAAGCTTAATTTGTATTGAACCTGAAATGTTCTATTAATCCACGACCGTGATGGTTAAGGTCAATTTCCCAAAATGTTAGCATGATTTGCTCTGATTAAAGTAGCCCATGAAATATTATAAATAGCTACAAATTTTAGTTTTGGCATTTGCAGTTTGTGACAACCAAGAAAAAATTTTCCCGAGGAAAGAGTAAGGTCCTCTACCATAGATTTCTCCTGAAGATGTCAAGGTGAGGTTTAGAGCTTGCGTTTGACTGTGCAGTAAATGTTTGAAGAGCTTGGCTCTGCATTACGCTCGCTGCCTTCTCTTTATGTCTGGTGGAACTGCTACCGAATGGAGGCAGACAATTTTGTAAAGACAAAATTGATATAAATCAGCTAACCTAGCAAAATGTAGAGCAATTGGTTTTGTATGTTGAAGTTGTGTACCGATCATTTCAGTACAGATGTGCTCAAAGAAATTGTTGGTGCCCTAATTTCCTGTTAAAAATTAATAAGAGGAGAACAGGAAGTCATAAATGCTCTGCTATAACTCAGACACACCTTGGCAGTAAGTTACTTTAGAAGTAAAAAGTATGATAAATGACTGTTAACTACAGTTACGTAGTTTCCTTACCTTCTGTTACACTCATTTCTCTCCTATTAAGCCAAATTCTTTCATAGCTTTTATTCCTGATGCCCACTTGTAATCAATGTTTCTTCAATGCACTAAAAACACTCATAATTTAATTTCATCACCATTTTCTTTCTTAAAGCTTCAAAATTAAATGGGTGTTTTTTGTTACTGGACTTTTAAGTTTGTGTATGTTAATTACCTCTTTATGTTTGCTAACCTCTGCATACCAGCATTGTTCAACATGGGTGGGCCATGTTACAGAATTTAGTGGGTGTTAAAGGGTTAGTTCACCCAAAAATGAAAATTAGGCTGTGTTTTACTCACCCCCGAGGCATCCTAGGTGTATATGACTTTCTTCTTTCAGACGAATCCAGTCAGAGTTATATTAAAAATGGTCCTGGCTCTTTCAAGCTCTATCATTGCAGTCAGCGGGTGTTGCAGTGCTTCAGTCCACAAGAAGTGAAATAAAAAGTGCCCATCCATAATAAAACGTGCCTCAGACGGCTCCGGGGGGTGAATAAAGGCCTCCTGTAGCAAATCCATGCATTTTTGTAAGAAAAATATCCATATTTCAAACGTAATAAACACTTTTCTCTCACTTCCGCTGACTGTCATACACAGAAGCAGTTCCGGCGGATGATGCAGCACGTATGCGCAGCGCGCGCCTCTGATATATGCTAGTCTCGCGAGTTTGTTAACAGGAGCAAAGGAAGCAAAGTTTCCTTACTTTAGCAAAGGAAAACCAGTCTCCTCTTGGCTTATATCGCAATCCTCCTGACACTTTTCTTTGCAAATCCTCGAATTGTACTTCTAATTCGTGACCGGCGTTTGGTTTTATTCTCTCTCCGCATTCGTCACTAATCACGCAACGCCGCGCGTCTTACGTCATCCGCCAGAACTGCTTCTGTGTATGACTCACAAAAATGTGGCTGGTCATATGTTAATAACTGTAATGTCATAATCATTAAGATTTTTGGCTCATTTTTGCAGATCTGTTTTAGTATTTAGAGGTTTGACTCTTTTGGGTTTGTTTAAATGAATCATTCTTGTTTCAACTTGATTCATTGATTCTTGTACATCATTACATTATCACCAGGCATCACATACTTGACACAGGTTTTAATAATTGGACATGAATGAAAGACTGATTCATGAATTGTTCAGTCTAATTTGCTAACATAAACGGATCAAAAGAACTGTTTAGGAATCAGACATTATTACTTTCAATTATTTACTTTCAAGTTGAAAATGATAGTGTAGTGCAGTACATAATACATTGAACTTTTTTTTAAAGCTTCAAAGTGAAAGAAAATGTGTCAAAGGTTTAATTAATTATGTTTTTGTGGTTACTGATAATGTGCAGTCAGTTCAAACTATAACTCTTATTTAAGAGGGTGTCATTAATATTTTAGTGCTTTTGTTTGAATGAAGTAGGAAGCAAATACATTTTAGAATCATTGTGTCTGAACATTGTGTTTTTTTTTATTATTTACTAAAGGTTTAAGAAATACAGTATACGAGGGAACCGAATGTACTTTTACGACAGAATTAGTCTTTACGATTTTTCTTCGTATCATTTTTTTCATGTGTTGCAAATGAGCGTAATTTTATAATATTGTATAATAAATATTGATTTTCTGTGAACGCTTTCTTTTTTGTTTTGTGGTTGTCTGTTTGTAGGATTATGAATCCATTGTGAAGTTAGTTGAAACACTGGAAAATCTGCCGACCTTTGACCCAGTGGCTCATCCTCACATAAACTTCCACTACGCCTTTGCCCTCAACAGGTGACACTGAACATCTTACTGTGTCTTAACTAAGCACAGTTGTCCTAGGTTTACAACATCAAGTAATTTGTCTCTTTACACTGAATGTTAAAATGCTGTGTGACACCACATAATCGTAATCACACTTAATCAGAATGTTTAATATACCACGATCAAAAGTTAAGATTTTTTAAAATGTTTTTGAATTAGGCCTCACTAAGCTCACCAAGCCTGCAGTTATTTGATCAAAAATACAGTAAGACCAGAAATATTGTGAAATAGCTAAATATACCCCAGTCTTCAGTGTCACATGATCCTTGAGACATCATTCTATTATGTGATACTGGAGCACAAAACCAGTCATAAGGGTCAGTTTTTTGAAATTGAGATGTATACATCATCTGAAGGCTGAATAAATAAGCTTTCCATTGATGTATGGTTTGTTAGGATAGGACAATATTTGGTTGAGATACAACTATTTGAAAATCTGGAATCTGAGGGTGCAAAAAAATTTAAATATTGAGAAAATCATCTTTAAAGTTGTCCAAATGAAGTTCTTAGCAATGCATATTACTAATCAAACATTACGTTTTGATATATTTACGGTAGGAAATTTACAAAATATCTTCATGGAACATGATCTTTACTTAATATCCTAATGATTTTTGGCATAAAAGAAAAATCTATCATTTTGACCCATACAGTGTATTGTTGGCTATTGCTACAAATATCCCCCAGCGACTTAAGACTGCTTTTGTGCTGCAGGGTCACATACGCTGATTTGGTCCTCAAGAAACAATGTTTCTTATGTTAAAAAGAGTTGTGGTGTTTATTTATTTATTTATTTATTCAGAATTTTTTCCTTATTGTTCAAAGGAACAACAATTATTTGAAATTGAATACGTTTGTTGCAAAAGTATTTTCTGTCACTTTTGATCAATTGAATGTGTCCTTGCTAAATAAAAGTATTAATTTCCTTAAACATCTCCAAACTTTTGAACACAGTGTATACAGTAATGTGAAGTGGCACAATGAGATTTTACTACAAACTTGAGTGAAATAGAAATACCATCCAGCACCTGGCTAGGACATGGAGTAGTATATGAATAACAATTGATATGATTTAAATCCTAAAGACCATTGATGAGAGATCTTATGGAAACATGGCCTTGTTCCAGACTCACACCATTGGTTGAGTCAGTGTTGCTTTTTTGGGCTTATCCAACAAACGGTGCAGTGTTCTGAAAGCAGCACCGGGTCACGGTGTTTACACATTTTAATGAAAGTATAGTTACATATAGCTGACCGTGTCTAACATTTAATTCCAGACTATTTTGTTGGTTCATTTCTGAATTTCACAGTCTCTCTTTGGTCTGTCTCTGCAGGAGAAACCTACCAGGAGACAGACAGAAGGCTCTGGACATTATGTTGCCATTGGTGAACTCAGATGAGCAGGTGGCATCTGATATTTATTGTTTGGTAGGGCGGATCTATAAGGATATGTTCCTGGACTCTCATTTCACCGACACGGATAGCAGAGATCAAGGCATGCACTGGTGAGGACTTGAAGGGAAATCTAACGAAAAAATTCAGGTTGCATTTCACACAAAAATCAAAATGATGTTGTGCAAACAAAATGAGATCTACTTGTAGGACCATTACAGTTTTTGACAGCTTTTGTGAGATTCACCAATAAAGTGGCCATAGTAACAGGAGCAGTGGCATTGTACTGTACTCTCTTTTTCTTTCCCATGTACAGGTTTAGAAAAGGTTTTGAATCTGAGCCCACGCTACACTCTGGTATAAACTATGCAGTGCTGCTACTGGCTGCAGGACATCAGTTTGACTCCTCCTTTGAGCTGCGTAAAGTAGGTGCGTTTGATTGACAGTTTGTATAATACTGGGTTGCACTCATCTATTCAACCACTCCTATAAAAGTGGTGGGGCAAACTTTATGTATTTATTTATTCATTTATTTAAAGCACTTTTTTACTGTCTGGTGTCATAAGAAATATTGGCCTGATAGTTTTTAAATTGAAATGTGGCAAAATCAACATTTATTTTCTGGTGTCAGAAAGCTCTTTCCTTAACATGAAAGACTTTCACAACATGCTTTACATCAGTAATGTGATGTATTTAAGCACAATATTCAGCAACACAGCATTATTTTAGGATTATTCATTGTTTGGAAGGTGAAAAGTGGGCATTCCATTCCGGAATGGTGCCAAACTTGCATTTGAATATAGAGAGGATGAAAATGTTGTTTGTCGATAGTCAGACATGAACAGTGTACTTAGTTCAATTCAGTTATTTCCAATCAATCCTAGAATTAGGGATGCACAACAATATTCACAACAAGGCTTGTGAATACTGGTATTCTACCACCCCCTATACATCTTGAGAACAGATTTGAAGCATTAATGAATGCGGGTGAGGATTCTCCAAATGTGATTAAACATGGATCGGATCAGCCAGCAGCTAACATCGCTACTAACAGACGCTCAAGGTCGAGCAGACAGCAGCATTCAGCTCAGAGCGCAGCCGAGCCCAGGACTCTGATAGTGGGTGACTCTATTATCAGAAACATCAGTAGCAGAAATACAACAACATATTGCCTTCCCCAAGCAAACGTTTCTGATGTGAACAAGGAACTTCGGAAAATTCTAATGAAGCACAAGACTGCGAATCGAATCATCCTCCATGTGGGGAAGAATGATATTCGGAAAGAGCAGTCAGAACTCCTTAAGAAGGACTTCAGTGAACTCTTTGAAACACTTCGAAGACTTGAAGTTCAGTCATTCATCAGTGGACCACTCCCAGCAAGGGGAATTAATATGTTTTCATGGTTGCTTGGGCTGTACACATGGCTACAAAGAATCTGCAGCTTAAAAGGAGTCAATTTCATCGATAACTTCAATCTTTTCTGGGGCCATAGACAACTGCTTAAACTGGATGGCCTCCACCCAAACAAACTTGGTGCAAGAGTGCTAAAGGACAACATATACTTCTCCCTCCGTCATCCTTCAGTAGTGTGTGCCAAACTACTCAACCTGAATGGCACACACACACCTGGACAGAGTATGAGTGATGACAGGACTTCATATCAGCTTTCGAGTCATCATGTGGTTGACACATCCCACAAGGACACTGATAACACCACGCAGCCACAACAAGCACTGCTTATGGACACATCCCGGCTGAGCCCTGCCCACAGAGCTCATCACAGACAGACTGCGACGTATCAGAACAGCTCCAAGACTCAGCATCCAAGGACGACTTTCTGGAAAACAGCCAGGGAAGCCAGGACAACATATTTCAGCCACCAGAAACACCAGAGCCACAGCCCTGCTCACCAGACACATTATCCCTCTCTCCAGCATCTCCACTTCTAAGCTTCTCACAGAAAATGGAGGAACTGGTTTATGCTGGGACCAAACTCTCCCACTCTTTTGCTGCAAGCCCCCAGATATCATCTAAAAAAAACGGCGGGCCCCACAACCACCAAAGCCTGATCCAGCCTTTGTTGAAGAGTTCACAGAAATACTATCAATGATTTCCTCAGAGTTTGACTGTTTTGCTATTGCAGGGGATTTTAATATTCACATAGATAATGCAGAAAACAAAACTACAAAATAAATTATAACTGTTTTAAACACTTTTGACCTGATTCAGCACGTGCATGAACCCACACACAATCGTGGACATACGTTAGATTTATTATTTATTTTTTATTTGGTTTGTTATGATAGGACAATATTTGGCCGAGATACAACTATTTGAAAATCTGGAATCTGAAAAAAATCGCCTTTAAAGTTGTTCAAATGAAGTTCTTAGCCATGCATATTACTAATCAAAAATTAAGTTTTGATATATTTACGGTAGGAAATTTACAAAATATCTTCATGGAACATGATCTTTACTTAATATCCTAATGATTTAAATGATTTAAAAGAACAATTTATAATTTTAACCCAAACAATGTATTGTTGGCTATTGCTACAAATATACCCCAGCGACTTAACACTGCTTTTGTGCTCCAGGGACACATATATTAGTGAGAGTAACCAACATAACATATATATATATCAATATGAATAAGTCTCCCATATATTAATATGCCTCTTAATATAACATATGCACTTAATCTGTGTCTTGTAGGTGTGAAGTTGAGCAGTCTCCTGGGGAAGAAGGGCAGTTTGGATAGATTACAGAGTTACTGGGATGTGGGTTTCTTTCTCGGGGCTAGTATTCTCGCCTGTGACAACACGCGAGTCATCCAGGCCTCTGAGAAACTCTTCAAACTTAAAGCTCCCATCTGGTATGTGCACACATTCGCATTTCACATGCATCAGTGTTTAAAATAATATGCATATATTATTATATAATGTGTTATGTATTATTTATAGTTGGAAAAAATTGCCATTAATTATTAGTGTTTGCTAAGACATTACTATCGCTATTACTATTGCTCATACTGATTTTGAACAAAAACGGTGTTTAGGACATTTTAAAACTGATTTCCAGGCCTGGGAAAGTCATAGATAATACTGAAACCTTTTATTGAAATATTTAGTTTTTTTTTTTTAAGTAAGTAATGAAATAAATGATCTGTAGTAAATATTCTAATATTACCTGTATTTACCTACACTAGGGTACAGTGGGGCTAACGTCACACACCGCAAGGAAAATGTGCTTTTCACTACTCCCACAGTGTATGAAAAAAATTTATGTTTTTATTAAACATTGATGGAGCAGCATTTTGTGAGAAAATAAAACATAGAAGTGGTTTGTTTTGTATAAAGCTCTTATACATGTATAAGTAAGTGGAGGGGGTAAAAGTCTCACCAGCAAGCGACAAAAGTATTGATACAAAATACACTATTTAAAGTATGAAATGTTTAGTAATATGGTTTCCATAATATCCAAGTTAATACTTCTACAAAACATTCCTCTTTAGCAAAGTTTGTACTGTTTTCTGTTTGGATGAATAAAATATATATATATATATATATATAATAAAAAAAAATGTTTAAATAAAGATCCTGTCATTAAAATATGTTAATATAAAAATATGTAAAGATTCTGAAATCCTTGAAGTAGATCCCATTATAATTTAATATGGTTTTACAGTTGAAAAAAATAAATGTATATATATATTTTTTCAGTTATATGATTAATTTCATATTTTTAAATATGGTTCAATATTATCTTTAATGTGCACACCCATCTTAATAAATGATACTAACCAACTAAATTGAACCATGTCACGTCAACAAATGGAAAAATCTGCCAACAATTATTATGCCTTTATCCATACCAGCAGGGGGGCATTTTATACCATCCTTTTACATATTCTTTAGTTATTGAAAACCGTTTTAAAACTTAAAATCATTAAGAAGATCTCTCAAAGTAAATTTGGTAATTTTATTGATTCTCATTCGCTACATTTAAAACAAACATTTAAATACTAGATCAAATTGGCACAGAATCAGGTGCATTGCTGTTCACAATGGCATCAAGGAGCAGCCAAATTTCCATGTGCGTAGTGAAGCATGGATGTTTAGAAAGGTTCTGCTGTAATTTTTTTGTGCCATCTAGCGGTTAAGTTCTGTTTTTATTCACAATTTGTACAGTGTCCCAACTTTTTTGGAATCGGGTTTGTAGAATCAAATGCGCCTTTTGCACCTCTTAGTCCTATTATAAATTCTAAGCCATATCTAGAGACAGTATACAAACTTTGGCTTGGGCTGGCATTATAGTAATGAATTTTGAAGAGGCAAGTGCTTCTGTCTGTTAAAAGTGAGTCATACTTGTAGTCTTTTAGAGTAGGGTATTGTTCATTCATGAAGATGTTTGTGTTTTATGTTGTATTTCAGGTATCTAGGCTCACTGGTTGAGACCATTCTCATCTATAAGCACTTTACAAAACCAACCACTGATCCACAGGCCCCTAAACAAGAGCTTGTGGACTTCTGGATGGACTTCATGGTGGAAGCCACCAAAAAGGATGCCACGTCGGTCCGTTTTCCTGTATGAGCCCTCCTCACTCAATGACTCTTCTGCTAAGTTGCCACATTACATTGCCACATCACAACTCTTACTGTTAGAAAGCCATTTAAGATGTTCACGTTTACATGCACTGTGTTGTTTCTGGAATAAACCCTTTTCTGGTGTGCATGTAAACTCTGACAGTTTAGTAAGAGTATTGACTTGAGACACTGCATAATGCTGTTGGGCACTGATGGCATGTAAAGCATTGACTATCGTCAGAATTAATATTGCTTGTTTTTGATGTGTGCAGGTATTGATACTGGAGCCCACTAAAGTGTACCAGCCATCTTACCTCTCAATCAACAACGATGTGGAAGAGAACACACTGTCCATCTGGCACGTGACCCCTGATGACAAAGTAATAAAGAACTTACCATTTATCCATTCGTTCTTAAACTCAGATGTTCTTTTTCTGGATTTGTGGACTTGTTAAACCTCTAAATCCTTACAAATCCGAACATTAGAGTATCGAGTGCTGCATGTTTAAAAACATGACGCTGTTCCATGTTCTACAGGTTTGATTTATTTTGAGCTTGTATGAGTTTCTTCAGTATGGGCGTGCAGTATGTCCTAAAACCAAAATGTGTTCTTGTCTTAGTTGACTACTGTATATTCATTTCATTTGAGCTGCTCTTAAAAAAGCTCTTAAAATGTTCTTAACCTGGCAGATACTCTTTATCTAGCCTTTTTAGTGTATTAATTATTAATATATAATGTTTTTAAAAACATCAACAAAAAATACGCTCAACTGGGGCTACTAAATTATGGGTCGGCACAGAATTAGCACTCAGCAACAGTGAAGTTTTGGCTGATTTTCTAGCTGTAAACCGAAAACGTTTAGGTCCCAGGTTTACATTTGAAATGAAACCCTATAAAACAGAGAGTTCTGGTCCTTGATTCTGATTGGCTGAGCCGCGTTCGAAGCACAACTGATTCTGAGGAACTACATTGTTTGGCGGAAGAATACTCTTTTTTTATTTTGTGAAACCTTACTACATATATGGAATAACCGTTTTATAAAAGCAATAAGCCCCGTGAAGCTGTGGTTTACAGTGAATTTATAACAGCTAAGGGGGTTTTAGGCACGACGCGAAGCGTCCATGCTTCATGTTTTAGTATCATTTCAAATTGAACAATAAACTTCAAACATAGTCCAAAACTTGTGTTATAGTTATAGCTGTAAACTTAACCCGTTGTCCCAAAGTTACTTTGCAAAGTTAACTATAAATTTAACATTTCAAACTTACTTTGTACATTTAACACAGTCCCAAAATGTTACTGTTACATTTGTAAAGTTATACTAAGGCTGTGTCTGTTGAAAATTGAAAAAGTTGAAAAGGCAACAAGATTTGTCTGAATCCAGTGATTGCAATTCATTTAAATATGTTTGAAACAACTTTTTAACTTTTAATTACATTTCTAGTGAGAAATTAGTATTGTTGCTTTATTTCACCAGCTGTGTATATATTAGTTGTGCTGCCTCAGAAGCCTGTCTGAAATAAGTTTTGAGAGGTAAGCTCTTGCGCAAACGTTGCTTGCGAAGTCATTGTCTGACAGGGCCGCGAGGAAACAAGTCAGCCTGAATATCATGCACATCCAGCAATGAGATGTCATGTAGAAAACATCGTAGTCAGTTTATGGTGAGCATCATTCACTGTATCTTGCCGACTGCAAATGTTATGATGTTTTCAATGCTATCAGTCCCGCTGAACTTTGCTAATTTATGTCATCAGCATATCTGGATGAGTACAGTTTCTCTCTCTCTCTGTTTTAGAGTAAAGGGATCCACGAGTGGAATTTCAGTGCAGCGTCAGTGCGAGGTGTGAGGTAAATGCTGTCTTCCCTAATAAACTTTTATTTTTTAAGAAAATTCATGAACTGACTTCCCTCTACTAGAAGATGAAGCAAAATATCATATTTATATGTATAGTATGTAAATATATAATACCGATTTTCACTTAGGATAAAGCATTTTTAAACTGTCTTTTTTTTGGCATTCAGCATCTCCAAATTTAATGAGCGCAGCTGTTTTCTGTATGTGGTGAACAACTCAGAAGACTTCCAAATCTATTTCTGCACAGAGATGCACTGCAAACGGTATGTCGTGTGTGTGTTTTTGCAAATGCCTTTTTTCCCCCCACATTTCATTTATTCTTCCTTACAGTGCCATAGACTCTATAAGGACAGAAATCGCAGGTTTGATTGTCTACTAGACTTATTCTAGAAACTAGCAATGCAAAATGCATTGGCCAATAATTCTAAAAGCATTAGACATTAGCGAATTATTAGTGAATTATTTCCTTTCGGTCATGAGTGGGCAAGAGAACGAGACAAACGTTACAAACTCATGCAATGAAAAAGTGTATACTATGTGTAGGGCATACGATAATGAGGTCTGAAAGTAATCACAGTGTGCATCTTTGTGTATTTAAAGCATGAGCACCGTCCTTTAATTAATTCGACTTTATTTGTTGTAAATTGTGATCATGTCAGTGTATGTGTTTTGATGATGCTCTGTGTGTTGCGTAGGTTCTGTGATCTGGTAAACACGCTCACTGAGGAGGCCTGGAAAGGCTCGGAAGAGACTGAGTGTGAATCAGAGGCTTTAGAGGTAAATAATGATTGTGCATACATTTGTTATGTATAGTACTAAGCAGCAGGGAGGTAAGACCGTGAGTAATTTGTGTGTTCTTGTGTGCCTGCAGTATGATTATGAATACGATGAGCATGGAGAGAGGGCGGTTCTGGGTAAGGGGACATTTGGGGTAGTCTATGCCGGTCGTGACCTCAGTAACCAGGTGCGCTTAGCCATCAAAGAGATTCCTGAACGGGACAGTAGGTGAGCCACAGTTTCCTTTTTCCCATTATTCCCATTATTCTGGAAGGAAATTTTATTTCACTTTGAAATCAAATTCTTTCGGATAGGAATGTCTTTCTTTGCAATGACTTATTTATTTTATTTATATTTTTTTTTACAACATTTTGACAAGGTTGACAATTTTGCCCTTCATTGAATACTATAACAAAAGGTACTTTTCTCATTGCATAGCCTGGTAAACTTTCATGAAGACTGGCCACAATGTCATAATTTTCATACCAGTGTTGTGCGGTTCGATGCTAGGTTGATTTAAAACATTATAAAAAGTTAAATATTAAATATTAAATTGTATTTTGATTACCAAACCTTAATATTTTAAGCATTCAGGGTTGCCACTCGTTGCATCAAATTCAGCATTGTCCTATATTCCAAAAAAAAAAAAAAAAGTAAGTATCCCATATCGAATCAACACAGTATGCGATTTGATCTATAAATGTACAGTGTTACAATGAGAATGTCATAATAGTGAATGAAAGTCAGTTTCACAAGAAATAGCAGAGAAGCACAAAATCACTGGGGAGAGAATGACAGGGTTGAAGTTGAAGATCATGCAGGTGTGAATGGATATCAGGGTTTCCGCGGGGTCTTTAATTTAGTTGTATCAAATTTAAGGCCTTAAAAACTCTTAAATTGTACAAGAATGTCTTAATTATGATTTCAAGAGATATGGCTGAATGTGACGATTAAACTTCAAAAGGCTATGCTTTCATTGAATAAACATGAGCGCTGCACGTTCAAAGTCTGGTGCTGCGCTGCTCTGGCCCTGTCCCAAATGGCACCCTAAACCCTCGCGGTCTTTCTCTGAGTCCGCACTTTCGTGACGTAATGCTGCTTTGACTGTCGGGTAGAAGGGCCCGGCAGAAGTGCGGATCGAGGGTGCATAACGGCCGCAAAGGGGGCGCTCGCGAGCACCCTTCTGAACGCTAAAATGACATATGGGACACCCTACGGTCTCGTGGACTTAACGGACACACGCACGTGGCGGCCATTGATTGTGTCCGCAAGACCGCAAGTGCACATGAAGTGTTCCATTTGGGACAGGGCCTCTGTGTTCTGCCGTTACCGGGAAAACAGTTATATTTCTACCAAACACTCCACCTGCTGGCAGAGATTGAATGAGCATTTTCAATTAAACTGTTGTTTTGTTCAGAGTTCAGACCAATGTGAAAAATCGACCCATGTTTTTACCATGCAAACACGCAGAGCTTTAAATGTGAACTGGTGGATCGATAATAAGACAATGCATTATAAAAATCTAAACATTGGGGTGTGCGATATGTAGCCTATGGTCTGCGATAATATCATAATTGTAGTTTTAACGATGTGCGATTTGATATTATATCGCGAAAAGCAAACACAAAACACACCTACAGAGTGCACGCATACATTAGGTGATGAAGTCTAGCAGGTTAGACTAGTGCGCGCGCATTTAGAGTGCGTTCTTTCACTGCATGAATCTGTCTATTAAAATGCATTAAGAATTATCACATAATTTAAGATATGGGGCAGAAAATGTATATATTTAAATCATTTGATATAGTTAATATCACACCAAGAGTGCTGTTTTTTTCTCCAAAATTAAGCATGATTACAAATGTGACAGTTCAATAAACAAGTAGTTAATATTAAGAGACTTACGTTTTAGACACCTATTGTCTGTTTTTGCTCTATTTCTCCAACAAAAATCATTCCAAACGCAGCCACAGCGCTGTTTTGTGTCTCTGAGCAACATGAGGCAGTTTTGTTCCTGAATGAATCAACCGTTTAAATGATTCGGATCAATCGCAATGACTCACTTAACAGTTGACTTGCTGCCACCTACTGGCAGTTTTAATTTCACATTTAAGGTAACTTTTCATTTTTTAAATAATTTCAAACATCAGTTTTCAATGTTATGTTTAAAATATCAAAACATTATTTATGCATTTGTAACTGCAGGTTAAAGTATTCCATGTCCCTCAGAGCTGCATTAAACAGTGTGTAAATGCATCTAAATGCCACTTCTAATGCAGCCTCTGTGTTTCCTCTGCATTGCAAAGATCAGTTTTGTTGATACTGATTTAATTTGCTTGGTAACAGCCCAAATGCAAGAATTTTACTCAAAAGATGGTGCATACTTTTAGAAAAAATGGCTTAAAAGTAAAAATGCCCATAAAACTTGATGGAAATGAATAATTTCTATCACTGCTGTGAACTGACCAGCACACAGAATATGAAGAATATAAAAAAATTAAGGAGTCCACTGTCCACGGTAGTCCTTAAGATGTCAGCACAATAACTCAGCAAAATATCGTCCAATTATCGTTCTCGATAAAATCCCAGAAAATTATCGAGATCATTTTTTGTCAGTATCGCACAGCCCTAATTTGTTATTTAATTGATATAATAATTTATTGATGATAATTGTTTAAATTAATATAATAATTAATACTTTTGACTCATCCATTTTCTTAACAATGGTTTAAAGGCTGAAATGTAAAGTTTATCATTTTATAAAACTTTGTTTTTGTGAAAACTTGTATCTGAACTGTAAATTATGTTTTTTTTTTTTTGTAATTTTACCTATCTTCGTTATGGCATACATCGATGTAAAAAGTCTGATTACTTGTTACTGTTGTCAAGCATCATTTCTTAGTGTTGATGCTTGAGTTGTGTTTGTGTGTGTGCGCGTGTGTGTGTGCGCGCATGTGTGTGTGTGTGTGTGCACGTGTGTGTGTGTGCGCGCATGTGTGTGTGTGTGTGCACGTGTGTGTGTGTGCGCGCATGTGTGTGTGTGTGTGTTTAGTCGGCCAAATTAGTTTTGCCATTATGCTGCTATCCGTAAGAGCCCGGATGGCTCAGTCAGTAAAGCATCAGACTTTTCATCTGAGGGTTTATATATAATATAAATGAATGTACAATATTCATGTGTGCTTAGGAGGATACGATTAAGCAGATGAAAATAGAAACAAGAAAAATGCATGCAATCACACAGCAATAGTTTATCTAACAGCACACGAAACGACTCTGTGTTGATAGATATTCACAGCCTCTGCATGAAGAGATCGCCCTGCATAAACACCTCAAGCACAAGAACATCGTGCAGTACCTAGGCTCCATCAGCGAGAACGGCTTCATCAAGATCTTCATGGAGCAGGTGCCTGGAGGTGAGACAGACTCGTTAGACCTTTATAGTGTACTTACAGGTACACATCTTTAGGCCAGAATTCATCTGTATTATTCAAAATGTAAAATATATTTGTATTTTTCTGTGAATCACAGGCAGTCTGTCAGCATTGCTCAGGTCAAAGTGGGGTCCTCTAAAAAACAATGAGCCAACTATAGGATTCTACACCAAACAGATACTGGAGGGTCTCAAATACCTGCATGACAACCAGATAGTACACAGAGACATAAAAGTAATAACCCTTTCATAATAAAATGAGGCGTACGCGTAAATGTTTCGAGAGCCTCAGCTGTACACATGCCATATGCATTATTAGGCCATTATATTACTGCATTATTTGGATCTCATTCGGATTTCTTTGAGATTCTGAAATTGCACAGAGGAGTGACTGATGCAATTACTGCTTTCATGACCAACAGGGGGATAATGTCTTGATAAACACCTACAGTGGAGTTTTGAAAATCTCTGATTTTGGAACATCCAAACGTCTGGCCGGAATAAACCCCTGCACCGAAACCTTTACTGGTACTGAGTGTGTTATTTGTTTTGCCATGCATTTTTACTTATCCTTTTGTCAGTAACAACTTGATGTTGCTTCTATAACACTGAAGGGCACAGCTCTTATATGTGCTGCAGATTTGGTCTGTTGACATTGATTAATATCTTTAGAATCTTCAAAATGTTCAGTAATTACTATTATTAGCAGTTATTTATTTCTTCCATGCTGTTTGTGTATGTCAGGTACGTTACAGTACATGGCCCCTGAAATCATAGATAAAGGGCCGCGTGGCTACGGCAAGCCAGCGGACATCTGGTCTCTGGGCTGCACCATTATAGAAATGGCTACTGGGAAACCGCCCTTCTATGAGCTGGGGGAACCGCAGGCAGCAATGTTCAAGGTCAGGCGTGATTACTTTATAAAGTGTCCTGAAGTAATCCTTTGTGTTCAGAATGCCGAATATGCAGTCAATTTACCACAAATATTTTTGCACAAAATGTGCATAATATGTTGCCTAATGTTCTTTTAGTTTTTTACTGTGTGCTGAATTTGTGCTTTGTTAAACATGTAATTTAGTACATTTTAAATGGTTTCTAAAACCACCAGGGCACAGGGAAAATGCACTTATCCTGCATTGGTAAATTGTGTTGTGTTTTGAGTTTTGAAAATGCGTTTTTACGATTGTGCTGGTGTATTTTGTCTAGGTTGGGATGTTTAAAATCCATCCGGAGATTCCTGACTCTATGTCCACTGAAGCCAAAGCATTTATCCTGCGCTGTTTCGAGCCTGATCCAGACAGCCGAGCCATAGCCAACGATCTGCTCACCCACGAATTCCTCACTGTTACATCACGCAAAAAACGATCAAAGAACAGCAGTTTCACAGGTGTGTGTTAGGGCTGTCAAAATGGCTGAAAAACTAAATTCGAATTTTGTACTTAAATATTATCAAAATTCGAATTATATTCGAATTTAAAATGCATAATTTCAGTTAGGGTGAAGAAAAGCTTTTGACTTCTCTCCTGAGGCCACAAGAGGGCGCATCGCGCAAAATATTACTAATGCACGTTTATTCAAAGCATAAGATAACATGACCATCTGTGGGAAAAAAGTGCATAATGTTTAAAATAATGTTTATAAGCCAATTATAACTAAGTTGCTTAAACAACTATAAACAAAACAGCATCATGCATGTATGCATAGTTTAATACAAAGGGTGGAAAGCCAATCACACAGTACATTTTTCATTTAAAAACATGAGATACAGTGGGGTGGGGAAATACCCGCCATAAAGTCTCGAGATATGTTTTTTTCAAAGTTGAACTTTAATTTTACATGGCTTTCTAAACATGCGACTCTTTTGTGCGAGACGCGAGTGCAGCGGTGATAGATGTCCCTCTAAAAAATGTCAAATATCAAGTCAGGCCTGCTTTATTGTCAATTCTTCCACATGTACAGCACATACACACAGAGAATTGAAATTGCGTTACTCTCAGACCCTTGGTGCATACAGATAACATTAACAGTAGAACATACAGTGGGTACGGAAAGTATTCAGACCCCCTTACATTTTTCACTCTTTGTTATATTGCAGCCATTTGCTAAAATAATTTAAGTTAATTTTTTGTCCTCATTAATGTACACACAGCACCCCATATTGACAGAAAAACACAGAATTGTTGACATTTTTGCAGATTTATTAAAAAAGAAAAACTGAAATATCACATGGTCCTAAGTATTCAGACCCTTTGCTCAGTATTTAGTAGAAGCACCCTTTTGATCTAATACAGCCATGAGTCTTTTTGGGAAAGATGCAACAAGTTTTTCACACCTGGATTTGGGGA